CCACAAGCGCGCTGCTGAGGTGTCTGGCGATCTCCCAAACCACTCAGGGACAAAGTAACACATACGCAGAAGGTATAAAGCGGACCCATTGTTATTAATCTGCCCCCAAACCAAGATTTGAAGATTACCCAGCATGCCTGGGAAAACTCTGCAGACGCTGCCGATGTCACCCACGGCCCCATCTAGAAGCTCAGGGCCGTAACCAGCCCACCCCAGTGCTTCCTGCCCCTGTGCCCCTGGCCTGGCTTTCACTCCTTTGCATTCTCTGAACACGTATTTGTCTCTCCAACTATTAACAGATGACAAGTTCATTTAAAAACAAGGGCTGAATTGTATTTTTCCTTACATTGCCCTAAAAAGAAAGGCTGCTGGTTGAATGCCAACACACGCCAGGCACTGTGCTAAATGTTATTGCCCTCATGAAATGGGGGACAGGTGGCTCAGAGCCTACACAGCCCCCCTAGCTGCCCAGCTCTAAGAAACCTTCTCCGAATCCCTAAGATGAGGAAGGATCTGAGGAACAATTTAAAAAACACTGCACTCGTACAATATATGTCAAATAAATTACATGTGTTAGGTTTCTAGGATTTTTCACACTGGTTTAAACTATATGTCAGACATCTACTAAATATGCTTAGTTTGATCAGTTAGTTATCTCTAAGGGGAACTTAAATTACTCCAGTTTGAAAAAAGACAAGAAAATATGAACAGAAAATTAAGGAGAAATGAAACACAGGGTTTGTAGAATTTTACTACAAACTTATAACCTACAGTTTCAGAACTGACTTACAATAACTCTTTCTTCAGTGGAAACTATCACCATTATATATTAGGGTAAAACAATAAATTCAAACATAATATTTTTTTAAAGTACCTTTTTTTCCTCCCGTAACTTCTTTAGGTTCACTAGCTTTTTTCCCATTTTTTCCATTAGGAAAGTATTTTTCAAATCCTATTAGAAAAAGAAAATATACAAAAAAAGTGTTATATTTGAAGGTGACATGTTTTCATCACTGTAATCAGACACTGGAGGTAGGGGAATAGGCTAAAGGAGGAGACAGAGGTTAAGGGTCAACCTGAAACTAAACCTATGCACCTGCTGAGTAAACACCTGCTGATGACATGTCCCTTCAACAAGAATGCGGAACATGACAGTCACACCTAAGCACTCACCTTTTGGAGGTCGAGAACACAATCTCTGATAAGCAGCAAATACATCTGTCAAAAGAGAATTTCTCCTGGCTGTTGCTTGAGTTGTTGCATATCGATAAAGCTATAAAATGACATAAAAATAAAAGCATGAAGTTTGTATCAAGATAAAAAATTTAAAAGTTTCATTTCCTAATCTTAAAGTGGATGAACTGTTTTGCCCTTCCACGGGTGGTTATAAACTAGCACAGAACAACTCCCTTTCAGGGTGCACTGGGGTTATGTGGCACTATGTCACTCTATCCCAGCAACAAAACCAGGAGACACACATTATGATCTAGAAAACAAGAATACTTCAAAATCAGACATACGTTTAAATTGCAACCCAGTTATAATTACCTGACAACACAATCACTTTGGCAATGTTTACTTAATCTGCAGCATTCAAAAGACAAACTCTGACACAGAAAA